GATGGCACCTGCACACACTCTATATGGGATCCCAGCCTAGCCCTTACAAAGATACAGTCCCTGGTCTTTGGGTATACTGAAACCTCAAACTAATAGAACTCTCTTCTTTTCTAGTAGGTGTAGTCCTTCCTTAGTTTCAACTCATTTAAAAATGCTTTCTTGTTTAGGACAGTGGAAGGAAGGCTGGTATTAAAATACTTCGCGACTTTTAAAAAAGGTCATGGCTATAAAGGCATGGTGACAGACAGTCCTTATACAACATGTAAAGCATTTACCATATCCTAAATTTGCACTCTTGGCAGACCTGTGCACATGTACTCAGCTTTCAGAATAGTTTTGCAAGTTGTAAACAGAAAAAGGGGTGGAAGCTTTTTAATAAAAGAGAGCAACGCATTTATTAAATGATCCTGTATTAGAACATAATAAAACTCCAGTATAGTCAGTTACTACCCGTGATGTACGACAGATATCTTCTATTTTAGTTGCTAATAAAGGGCTACACAAACCAAAATAGTCTGATTTAAACTTATTGCTTTGTTTTCTTTCTATGTGACTGCTTGTCATTAACATCCTTTATTCTCAGTTCTTATGCTTGGTAACTCAGCTATTTTGTAAAATACTTCAGAACGTGTTTTATCTTTAACATTTGTTATGACTGCTTCATTCACAGTTTTTTTTTTTTTTTTTATCCTAAATGTTCAATATGAGTTCGATAGTGCAAAAGAACTTGAAAAGCCTTTTGTATGTTTTCATTCTTTCTATTTTACAAAGTTACCTATAAATTATGTTTTGGTATATGATACAAATTTGTATCAGAAATACAAGTTTAATGATTATAATGATCAACTTGTTGAAATGGATGCAGTATTTTTATTTGAAGTGATTTAATATTGAAGACAATAGCTGGAAATGAGAATTCTCAGAATATCTTATCAAGCATTCATAGACCATGCAGAAGCCATACAGTGCTAAGCTCAAGCAATTATTTCTCAAATTTATTTGGAAGGGGAAGATAAGGCTTCTATCTCTGGGGGTGTGGAGGTTTTTTGGTTGTAGGATTTTGCCCCTTTTTTTTTTTTCCCTGCTCTTTGACTGGAGGTAGAATTGTTTTATATTATTTAAGCATCACTGCATCTTAAATGTTCTTGTACTTTTCTAGCCAAAATAATGGTATAACTAAATTACTACCATTCCTGAAGACTTTCTTTCACTCTAGTAAGAAATGCAAAATAGAATGGCAGCACTGGCTCATTGTCCAAATGGAGATTCATTCCCTGATACTTGACCTGCTATCAAGCAGCCTCCTTTTACGTTTACCTCATTTTGGTAGCAGGGGGAAGTTTCAGAATTAAATTCAGAATAACTTTGATAGTTGTGGGCATTGCTGCATACAAAGTCTTCAGCTGAAAGCATACCAGAAATCTTGATAATCTATTAAAATACTCAGTATCCTTTTTGTAAACACCACTTTTGCTTGCACCACTGCTATTTTCCATGTCGCAGATGACTACTACTTTAATAATAACAGGTGAATGCTCCATTTATAAAATGAACGACATTGCAGATGTTCTGGATTAGTGCTGGATAATAACTGCCCGACTTTTTTGCCTGTTTTTTCTTCTACTTGCCTTATTGGTTTGCCTTGTTCTCAAAAATTCTCATCAACAAGCAGGAAAAACAACTTTCAGGTTATTTTTGACAGCCTTGCAGAAAGAATGTGCAAGCAAAACTGAATTGGTAGCCAGTCTTTATAAATATGTGTCTGACTGTGCCTTATTTAAAGTCATTTGATCTTGAAGATTTTTTTTTCCTCTTTGGTGAACACAAATTTAATTAGGACTCAAGTTTTTTTTCAGTTTTAATGCCAAATACTTAATATCATTATTGAAGCACATAGTTAATTGGAATGATTAAGTATATATGGTTTCCCAAAGGTAAATATAATAGCTTCTAAATACAAATATTTAAATTGCCTCTTAGTTCTGTAAGGTATTTATAGTAAAAACAAACATAAATGAAAGAGCTTCAAGGAAATTCATCAGTCATTTTGGTCAGCACAATGTTATAAAATATCTTACAGTGAAAGCCTTTCGCTTGTAAAGTGTGTAATGTATTTCAAAATAAAGTTTCTAATTAAAATGGGAATTTCTGTGCCTACTAATAATACCAGCAATGACAGCTCAGAAGCCCAGTCAGAAGAAAAAGCTAAAGCTTTGTAGAATCTGCTTTAACTTGAGGATTTATACAAAAACACTTTCTTTCTGCTTGAGAGTAGCATGTATCTCTTTTCAAAGAAGAACTCGGTGTTTTGGCCGTGGGTTCCAGTATGTTTGGAGGAAGCTGACTTCAGTGCTCAGTTTCCTGGTGTCTTAATTTGAACTGTGTCAGAAGAAAAAGCAAATACCAAGAAAAGTAATTTATTGAAGAGATCTTCACTGAAGTCTGCACCCTCATTCTTTAGTATATAGTTTGTTCTCCCTCTAATGTGTATTTCAATACTTCATTTGTCTGGTTATTGAACCTTCACTGTCCCCTTTGCTTTTTGTGGAGGCTACTTCTGCGCATAGGATGAACAGGATTTGACTGATTTTCAGTACAATTTAGGAAAGTAACTCTCATTTGCAAACTTTGACATTCTAGAAAAATTAATGCATGTTAAATGTGAAAATACTGATTGAAGCACCACATTGCTTTCCTGTTCTTACATTTACGGGGAAAAAAAAAGCTTTAAAAAATTATTTAAAAAGTGTTTTTAAGCATCCAGTGAATTCTTAATTCCTTACTCCATTGTTTTGGACGCTGAATGGAAGCAATAGTTCTTCAGCTATTGCGCATCTGCAGAGCTAAAAGCTACGTAATGTTAGCATAAAAATGTGTTAGCCCAAGCAGTGTTTTGCGGCTGGCCAGTGATGCCTCTCTGTTTGTATCAGGGGCTGCATTTGGTGGTGGCGTTTTTGTTGTGCCTAAGAACATGCATTCCTTGGCCTCAGCATTATAAGAGTTAATTTAGTTCCTGACAGCCTGCATGAGCATTAGTTTAAATCTTTTGAATTGCTTGAATTTAGTTTTTACTCCAATGCAGCCTCGTTTCCAGGGACCTTTGAAAATGCCCCATATGTCCAGGTGTTTTTAGGCCCAACTTTTGCTCTTACCATTTTCCACTAGTTTATGGTTGTGTTTCGGGGTAGTGCTGTGTATGTTGTGATTTGATACTCAGACACTGAACTGGGGGCTTCTGTTTGTTGGTTGCACACAGGGTCTCCTAGTGCTTTGGCACCTGGTGTCAGTGGTTGGTAAACGTGTTCAATGTGTTCATGCGTAACTTTTTGTCTTATTTGTTGTTTTGTAGGTGGATGTTGTTCTTTCTCCATGTTTGTTCTCTCCTCTTACTTCCTAAGGAAAATAACAGCTGTGCCAATGAGAGCTTTGCTTTTAAATTACATCGGTCATTACTACTTGCAATTGTTATTTCCTCGGGTTGAATTAGGTGTGCTAGCTAGTTTCTGATCTCCAAGAAATTGCCTAAAGTCAGTCCCTTCTTAAGCAAAAAGTGAATATCGTGTTCTCCTGACGAACTCTTTGAGCATGCACTGGAGTATTGTCACTTTATTCTTTTTAACCCATCTAAATTAAAACTGAGTTTGGGGTGATTTAACTCATACGACACTGTCCTAAATATCAAGGAGTTGGCTTCATAACTGGCTTGACAGAGGACAGTGCAGGGGTGCCAGCTAGGAGCAGTCCCAACCCTGGCTGCCTGCAGGCAACCTGAGCCCCGATCACTCATCTCGTCCCTTACCTCATCCTCACCATGGGAGGAAGATGCCTCATATGTATGTACTGCCCTACCCCTGCCATGTGTCCCCTCTGGGCCAGGATGGCCTCTGAGCAAGCCTTGTGCTAGGCCAACGTAATGCCTACTGCTCCTCTGTCACAAATGCCTTTTTACCTGTAGGGTTAAGCACAAAGTGCTGCTTTTTTCTTTTTCCTCATCTAAAAGTAGTTACAAGAACACGAGCAGTGAGCCTGTAAGCTCAAAGCTGAGCTGTGATGAATCAGTGTTGCACTTGTATAAATATTCTTTTTTTATGATAAAAGTCAAATTTTCTTTATAGTCACAATGCAAAGAGCTAGTGTTGAAAAATAACCTGTCAGTAAGATGTCTGCTAGAGATGGAGGATTTGGAAAATGCTGTTTTTATGATTGCTTTCAGGGAGAAATAATATTTTTTCTTAATTGCGAGAAATATTTTCAGTGTGAAAGGCAGTTTTAATCACATACAACTTTCAAGGAGCTCTGAAATAAATTAATTTGGTTCCTGTGTGTGACCACTAGCTCTGGCAAGCATGATCAGGGTTCATCTCAGGAGTTATTCAGGAGACAAGGAACCTGGGTGTGCAGTGTATTTCCAAGTCAACTCTATTATCCAAAACATGAGGTTGTGTGGGGAAAATTAATTCTGGTAAAGCAGACCGCAGAATATTGTGACATATATAAGCATGTACTTAGTGGCAGCTTATGCAGTTTCCACCATGATACAGTTACTGAGGGATGGCTCCTCACTGGGGAAATATCAGAGTGAGCTCGCTCTTGTGAGCCTAAACGTGCTGTGTAAGTTCATAAAACTGAGTTTGGTATAAAAGGTGGCCAGCACAAACACCTTTGACGCTCACTCTGCTCCCAGCAATCTTTATCCTGCGCTGCCTCAGCACAGGCTTTGGGAAAGGCCACTTCATGTGGCTGGGGGAGACCTTGCCTCTCACCCTCCTGGCCGTAGCTACCCCTTCCTCACAGGGCTGGGACCCCGAGCACAGGCAAGGTGCCTGACCTGCATGCTGGAGAGGTGGGCAGCCATCACAGGGGCACTGGCGTGGGAGCGCTCGGCCCCAGGAACGGGCCTTCACAGCTGCCTCAAGCCACAGTCTCCTGAGAGCCTATGATAGCTCTGCAATCTTGGTAGAAAGGAAACCATCCT